TTCTTCTTACCAACTTACCCTTCCTGGTGTATCTATTCTTACAGATTTCTTGGTTTTGTTTTATTTTGTTTTGTTTTTCTGAAGATATCCTTGAAGTTTTTGGAGTGCTGGTAGTTGGTCACAAATTTCTTAAGATTCTCTTTGTTATGGAAAGACTTTATTTGTCCATCAATTTTGAAAGATAGTTTTGCAAGATGTATTAATCTGGCTAGAAGTTGTTTTCTTTTATTTATTTATTTATTTTAAAGAGTAAAAGAAGCATAACAATAATGGGGTGGGGGGCTTACCAAAAAGAAGTTGTTTTCTTTTAAAGCTTGAAACATTTTATTTTGGGCTTTCCTGGTCCTCCTTTGTGTTGAGAAGTCTGCTGTAATTGTAGTGGATTTAAGTTTTTAAGTTGCTTTTTCTAACATCTTGTAGACTGTTGGGATTTTGACTGTGATGTATGGTGGAAAGGTGTTTTTTCTGATCATGGCTATTTGTGATTCTGTATGCCTAACTTACTTGTACCCTAAATTCTTTCCCCATATTTGGAAAGTTTTGTATTTTTGTAAATAGTTTATATGCCATTTGTGCTTTCTTCTTATTTTCACTAATTCCAATTAATTGTAGATTAGTCTTTCTGTCATCTAGCAGTTGTTTGGTACATTTTTTCATATTTTGTTATTTTTCAGGTATCTCTGAGTGTGTGGCCACTGACATTAGCCCTGTCTTCTAGTTCTGATACTCTTATCTTCACACTGGTCACTTATGTTGCCCATACTTTCAATACAGTTTTTAATCTGGATTTCTGTTTGGTATGTTTTCATGGATTCCAATTTTTGCTAAACAGGTCATTTATGTTTTGTATCATTTTGTTTAGTTCAGCTAGCTTTTTATTAGTGTTTTCTGCAAACTCACTAATTGTTTTGTTTTTAAGTATATTTTCTCTCTCTTTTTTTTTTTTTTTTTTTTTTTTTTTTGGTTTTTCTCCGGTACCGGGACCCGAACTCACGACCTTGTGCTTGCAAGGCAGACGCTTTGCCGCTGAGCTAAATCCCCAGCCCCTATATTTTCTCTTTAGTTGTATATTCTGTGAACTTGCCAAGTATCTTCCTATTGGTGTCCCATGGATCTGCTTTGGGGGATTTGGGAGTTTTTGGAGGTGTTCTGTTGCCTTGTCTTTTCATGTTTCTTTTGTTGTTGGTTTTTTTTGAGGGGGTGGTGTTTAGTGCTGAGGTTTGTGGGTTGATTACAGTGGAAAGACCATAGTATGGAGATCTCTTTACAGTTACTGTCCTCTTGGTATGACTAACTGTAGGCCTTTGCCTCTGTCTCAAGATCCAGTCACCTCAGTTAATTTGCAGGGGGAGGTTGCAGTGTAGTTGGCCCCAGCACAGTGCTCTCCAGGAATGGACCACAGTATTGTTAATGATACACAGGCAACTTAGATACACCTAAAACAGATGTTAACCTAGTGGGAATGCCACCAGGTGAATTCCTTAAAATTGTTTTGAGTTTTTAAAAAAAACTGTTCTATTGAAATAGAATTTACATACCATAGTAGTCACAAGTTTTGAGGGTACAGTTCAGTGACCTTTTGGTAAATTCAGAGTTGTGCAAATATCATGGTGCAGTTTTAGAACATTTTTATCACTCTTAAAAGATTCCTCATACCCATTTTTATTCAGTCTTCAGTTGTACTCTCAGTTAACTATTAATCTGCTTTCTACCTCTAGGTTTGTCATTTTGGGATATTTCATATAGATGAAACAAAACAGTATGTAGCATTTATCATGTGAATTCATTCACTTAGCATAATATATTTGAGGTTCACCTATTATTATAACATGTATCAATATTACGTTCATTTGTATGTTTGGAAAGTAGTTTTTTATTTAATGTCCTAGTTAACGAACATTTGGATTCTTTCTCTTTGTTGGCTATTATAAATAATACCGCTATGAATAGGTGTCTCTGTGGATATATGATCTCAGTTCTCTTGGGTGTGGAGTTGTTGATCATCTTGTAAAGTTATATTTGTTTCTTTTTAACTTTAAATTGTCAAACTATTTTCCGAAGAAGCTGTAGCACTTTATATTTCCTTCAGCAATATTATGAGGGTTTGCATTTCTTTACATTCTCACCAGTACATTTGTAGTCATTCTATTTTTTTTTTTTTCCCAGTACCAGGAACCGAACTCACGACCTTGCGCTTGCCAGGCAGGCACTGTGCCTCTGAGCTAAATCCCCAGCCCCTGTAGTCATTCTAGTAGGTGGAAAGTGGCACGTATCACATAGTGTTTAATTTGCATTTCCCAAATACGGAATCATCATTTGTCATTTGTTGAGTAGTATCTTTTCACATGCTTATTTGTTTATCTTCTTGGGTGAAATATCTGTTTATATCTCCCGCTCATTTTAAAAACTGAGTTCTTTGTCTCTTATTAAATTAGGAGATTTTTTTTCTATATATTCTGAAAATGACCTTTATCAGATAAGTAACTTATAAATAGTGTCTATAAAGCTATAATTTTTCTTTGCATTTTTCTTTGAAAGGGGACCTCTTTCAGAGGAAAGCACGAAGGTAAATAAGAAGAAAGGGTGGGCTGGGGATTTAGCTCAGCGGCAAAGCGCCTGCCTGGCAAGCGCAAGGTTGTGAGTTCGGTTCCCGGTATCGGAGAAAAACCAAAAAAAAAAAAAAAAAAAAGAAGAAGAAAGGGCTCTGGATGTTATAAATCATTATTGAGAAAACAAAACAGTGTTTGTGAGCCTTACAAAAGTCTAGTTTTGGTCAAGATTCTCTTTATTGTCTTTTCATTGTCTTTAAATAGTTTTGATACTCAATTATTTCCCTTTACTGCTTCAGGGAAATCTTTAGTTTCAGGATTTTAAAGTTGTAGTGGAACATTCAATTGATTTATGCTCATGATAAAATTTTATTAAAAAATGAAATAGAGGGGTGAGAGTGTAGCTCAGTGGTAGAGTACTTGCCTAGCGTCCATGAGGCCCTGGATTCAGTTCCTAGCACCACGAAGGGGGAGTGGCAGTAAGAAATAGCAGTGTGCACTCCATGTAGTAAAGATACATATTATTTCATGAAATTTGTTTCACCATTGTGTATATATGTGTTATGTGTATGACTGTAATTGTACACACACATCATATATATGACATGTATCTGTATTGTATATGTGTGTTGATAGATACATATCCACATAAAGACATATCCCAGTATATACATGTACATTCACTAGTAGAATGTATAGTTGATTTCTTTTGTGGGCTAAAGTAGAAATAAAAGTTTATATACAGGTTTTATGCTTTGTGTTATACATACATATTTTGTTTAACCCCCAAATACAATGCAGTTTGGTTGATAGGTCATGGTTATTTCTGCCTACTGCTTAAATTTTTAAGCACGGTCCTAGAGTTTATTCACTGAATATATATTAAACACTTACGGCAGGTATCATTGTGGTTGATACCAACAAAATTTGTGGTCCCTATCCTGGAAGAGCTCAAGATTTTTAACTTATTAAAAATACAGCGAATTAGTAGAAAAGGAATGGAAGACAAACAAAATACTAGAAAAACTTACCTGCTGTGATATTTGTTACTGTACTATGTTTGACACCTGTGCATACATTCACCATTTATGTAGACTTTTGGATTTTTAAGTGTTCTTTCAAGTGTATCTTTCGAGCCACAAAACAGTCATCTTGAGAAGTAGACCTTACTCCCTCTCTGGGTTAACAAAAAGTAGAAGCTGGAAGAGGTTTTGCTTTGACTAAGATTACCCAAGTAGTAGAAGGTGGCAGAACTAGACTTGCACCCATCTCCTAATTCAGTATAATATTCTTTCCCCTGTATGACCTGGAAAGACCTGTCATAAATCAGAGATTCCAACTGTGCCAGTTTAAAAATCTTTCGGGGAAAATAGAGGGTACAGAGACTTGATTTATGGAAGTTCAGTAGGTAATGTTTATATTTGCTAAAAACAAAAAGCAGAGCTGGGTGTGGTGGTGCACGCCTGTAATCCCAACACTTGGGAGGCTGAGCAGGAGGATCATTGCAAGTTTGAGACCAGTCTGGGCTACAAAGTGAGCTGAAGGCCATCCTGAACTGCATAGAGAGACCCTGTCTCAAAAAGATTGATCAGTCAATTAATCAGTCAATAAATGCAATATGTTAATAAAGGAAATGCAGAAATATATTTTTTGAAAAATAGGAACAATTGATAAAATTTCATCTTTTTTTTCCTTTTTCATTAGAAGCTTCTTGAATCTACCTTGATTTCTTTCAGAGAGTTGTGAATTTGTTTTAACTATAGATGTTAGTATAAATAAGTATCTTTTCCTGTCTCTAGTTTATAACATCTTTTTAACTACATTACAACTTACTGAATTCTGCTTTCTGTGTCTCACTATTGTTTCAGAAGTATAAATTCCTTTGCATAGTGAGGTACAAAAAACAAAAACAAAAACTGAGTGTCTATTTATTATGCTTGGCATAGTTTAGGTTTACAGAATACTTTCTAGGGCTCTAACCCATTAACATAGTGCCGGAAATAAGACCATAGCTCATTTTACCTTGTTCTTCGCTCTCTTTTTGTCAGTATGTGTACGAATGGTTCGAAAGCCTTATGGACTCTCCCACACCTTCCTGTATCTCTCCTAAAGCTTCGTTACAGAGTTTTCTTTCTCTTGGTCCTTTCCTGCCAGTACCCTTGCCCTTTTTTTTCCAATTATACCCTAAAGGACTGCCAGTTTTCAGATATCTGAATCAGAATTCTTGGAAATTTCAAAAGATGTATAAAAAACAAATCCATGCATTCTGTAATTCCAAGATAACCTATGGGGAAAGACTGCGGAATCTTTCTTCTGAGTCATGCTATATTGCCAGAGGATTCTTCTGACAGGAAGCAAATTTATCCTTGACCAAGTCTAGGAGTGTAGCTGTTTTTATATTGTGTCCTTCTGGTAATAGATTCTCTTTTATATTTTTACTTTGGTTGACAGATGCAAATGAGACTGATAGACATGAAAGATCTGGAAAATCATAGTAATCAATCGAATTGGTGCAATAGTCCACACAGTATTCTTGTAAATGGCGCTACAGATTATTGCAGTCTCAGCACCAGCAGCAGCGAAGCAGCCAACCTTAATGAACCTTCTGAAGGCCAGAGCAACCTAGAGTCTGAGCCCATCCACCAGGAGTCTCCGGTGAGTCTGATAGTTTCATGTCCTTCGTAATCAGCTTCAGAAAAAAAGTCTGATATGAATCAGACATTTAGCATTATACCTAATATAATATGTTTCCAGGCCTTATCTGAGGATGTATGCAGTTTCTTTTTTAAAGGCAGAGAGTAAATCCTGATCTAGTAACAGTTTTAACTAGTGTTAAAATTAATTTTACCTGATTTATTTTTTCTAAATCCTGTTTAAAGTATTATCTATAGAAGTTAACTTTTTATTGTTTGGAGATGAGATTTCACTGTGTTTGCCCAATCTGGTCTTGAACTCCTGGGCTCAAGTGATACTCCTCCTGCCTCAGCCACATAAGCCACTGGAATGATAGGCACTTGCTACTGCACCTTAGCTAATAACTTTTTTAAAGCTGTTTTTTTAAGGAGCCAGAGGTATAACTGATAGATAGTTTGCCTAACATATGAGGCCTGGGCTTCAGTCTTCAGCACCACAAAGCAGAAGCAAAAAAGCCAAGCATGGTGGCACATGCCTGGACTCAGGAGACTAAGGCAGGAGAATTATGATTGCTTGGGCTATATATAGCAAGACCCTGTCTTTAAAAAAACAAAACTACTTGAAACAAATTTTTACAGTATTCTCCCCTAAGTGGAAAGTAATTCTTTACTTCATGGTGTTGAGGGCATTCATTTCACCTTTTATTTATTTGGGGTTTTTTTTATGACTGGCTTCTTTTGCAGAGTATTATGTTTTGTAGGGTCATCCTTTATTTTGGCAGGGGGTCACCAGGAATCAAACTCAGGACCTCGTACCTGCCAGCCAGGTGCTGTGCTGCTGAGCTGTATCCCAGCCTATAGGGTCATCCTTGTAGCATGAATCAGAGTCAGTCCATCTTGTAGGTGGACAATGTTCCATTGTGTGCGTAAACAAATACGCGCTTTATATCAGTGTCCCCCAAAGCCCAAGAGTTAAAGGCTTGGTCCCCAGGGCATAGTACTCCAGGGAGGGGGTAGAATCTGTAGGCAGTGGGGCCTCCTGGGAGGTCTCATGTCATTGGGGCCACCCTGTTTTACCAGTTCTTATAGCATGCCAGCTACGTGCCCAAGTGCAAGGTTGCATGTGTGTGAAGGCTGTGGAGACAAAAGCAGCATAGAGTCTAGCAATGTGACACTGTGATAGAGGTTTACTGCAGGGAGTAGCCATTGAAGAATTTTATTTTGTTTTGTTTTTGTTTTTGTCTTTTTGAGACAGGGTCTCGCTCTGCAGTTCAGGCTGACCTTGAGCTCACTTTGTAGCCCAGTCTGGTCTCGAACTTGCAATGATCCTCCTGCCTTAGCCTCCCTAGTGCTGAGATTACAGGTTTATGCTACCACGCCTGGCCCACCAAACAATTTTAAGATACAATTTACCTTTCAGAAATGTTGGAAATGGGGCTGGGGATATAGCTCAGCGGCACAAGCACCTGCCTGGTAAACACAAGATCCAAGGTACGGTTTGATTCGCCATACCAATCAATCAGTCAATCAATAAGGAATGTTGGAAATGAATTGGAAAGTACAGCTGTGCACATAGGAATGTTTAGAGGCCGTTGAGGTAGTCTGTATGAGTGTCGTGTCAGCTTAAATTTCAGCAGTTGTAGGAGGGAGGATGAGAAAATAACAAGTTGAAGGGGTATTAAAAATTAAAAATTCGTGAGCTTCATTATGTTTAGTTAGTGCATTCAGATATATTAATATTCTTTCAAGCACAAAAGGCAGGTCATGGGTTATCCTTCAAACACATTAGCATGGAATGAAATGGAGATTGCCTCACTTTTTGAGCGTTTCTACTAATGATTTAAATCAAGGAAGCAATGAAGAGCCATTGAAAACCTTTTAACCCAAGGGATCACAGTAAGATTCAGCCTTTAGATCTATTAACATTTGCTACTATAAGGATATATCTTGGATGCAGGGCTGCATCCAGAAATCCAGAAGTCTGGACCAGAGGTGATTATGTAGTAAATGAACGATAGAGACAATGAGGAAAGAGAAGGTAAGAATTTAAGAAAGAGGTCAAGAAGCAGACTTCGTAAGATTTGGAGTCATTTTCTAACCAGGGGACAACCAAAAGGGAAGTGGTTAAAGATGACCTGACTGCTTCTGACTCAGTGACTTTGATGCTTGGTGATACCGTTTTCCTAAAGAAAAGATTGTAGGGAAGAAATCATTCAGTGAATCACTGTGTTTGTCGTTTTCTTATTTTTAATAGTTTTTGATTTTCCTTTGTAAGTTTCTTCCACTAAATAGGAAAGGATATTGTTATTCTATATAGTATTAATATAGGCAGGGCTGAGGGTATTGCTTAGCGGGTACAGTGCTCACCTATCATGCTTGAGGTCCTAGCTTTCTTTGATTCTCAGCATCACTTGTACTAAATTGTATGTGTGTGTGTGTGTGTGTGTGTGTGTGTGTGTGTTTTAATAGGCAAGAAGCAGTCCTGAAATCCCACCTTCTGATGTGACTGATGAAAGTGAAGTGGTGACTGCAGCTGTTAGCGAAAAAGTTTGTCCCGAAGTTGACAATGACAAACATGCAAAAGAGGTAAAAATAATTTATAATTTATATGTAAATATTCTTAGCACTAATACGTTAAGGTTCTCTATGACTGCAAAAAGTGTCTGTTCATTTTTCAGAGCATGAATCTGATATGAATGTAGATTATTTTAAAATGTTACTTTTTAAGACTTTGGTTCCTAAATTATGTTTTCAATTTAAAAATATTTTTAGGAAGATCCATTTAATGTAGAATCAAGTTCACTGACAGATCCAGTTGCAGATACAAACTTGGATTTTTTCCAGTCCGATCCTTTTGTTGGCAGTAAGTATCTTTTTATATGTTTACCGAGAAAGGCTTTTTAATGTATAAACTGTATAAAAACTAGGGCTTCATTTTGAGAGCATACTTCTTACAACAGGTGAGAGTAAGAATTTATATTTTTTGATTTGCTAATATTTATCCTCCATAGGCTAGTAAATTCTAGGACTAAGCCTTTGATTATGCCTTAAGAGACCCTGATTACCAAAAACAAAACAAAACAAAACAAAAAAAAAAAAACAAACTCCTTTGGGGCTGGGGATTTAGCTCAGCGGCAAAGCGCCTGCCTGGCAAGCGCAAGGTCGTGAGTTTGGTTCCCGGTGCCGGAGAAAAACCAAAAAAAAAAAAAAAAAAAAAAAAAGAGACCCTGATTAACAGTATGTTTCTCCTTAAGAATAGAGACCAAAGGAAAGAGATGTATGTTATAGACCAGTGATGGCGAACCTTTCAGAGATGAGTGCCCAAACTGCAACCCAAAACTCATTTATTGCAAAATGCTAAAACTGCAGTTAAACTGGAATACTGACACTTTTGTTTAGGAAAAAAAACTCATACTGTAACATCTTTTGTCTTAAAAGCAAAGCAACACATACGGCATAGGTTCACCACCATTGTTATAGACTACTACTAGAGCTTGGATACGCTACAGATAACGATGATGATGATAATGATAAAATGTACAATTTAATAGTTTCAGTATATTCATCACCGCAATCTAATTTGAAACAGTTCAGCCTGGTGTGGTGGCACGCCTGTAATCCCAGCACTCGGGAGGCTGAGGCAGGAGGATTGTTGGGAGTTTGAGACCAGCCTGTGCTACAAAGTGAGCTCAAGGCCAGCCTGAACTGCATCATGAGACCCTGTCTCAAAAAAAAAAAAAAAAATTAGAGACAGTTTTTATCACTCCATAAGGAAACTACATACTCAGTAGCAGTCAGCCACTTTCCTCTTAATGCCCAACCATGGACACTTTATAATTTAAAATAGGCAAAGTGATTTAAATATTTCTCTAAAGTAAATGTACAGATTGACAATGAGCACATAGAAAGACATTCAACAACGTTGTTGAGACCCACAATGAGATACCATTCCATTCCTACTTGGATGGCTGTAAGCAAAAGGATAGGTTACAAGTGTCAGAAAGGATGTGCAGAAATTGCAACCCCTGTAGACTTCTGGTGGGAATGTAAAATGATGCAGTCTCTTTGGAAAAGTCTGTGACTGTTCCTCCACCAATTAAACATAGAATTACTATATGATTTTATATATTCAGAAAAAATGAAAACATATCCCACAAAAAACATACATCCTGTTAAGCATCAAATTGTCATGCCCACTTTATAATTGGGTTGTTTGTGTCTTTATTGTTGACTTATAAGAGCTCTTTACATATTCTAAATATAATTCACCTATCAAATACATGATTTGTAGACATTTCCTTTGTGTTCTGTGTTGCTATACTCTTGATGTTCTGCTGTCAAGTACAAAGTATTAGTTTTCATTTAAGTTCCATTTTTTAATTTTTTTCTTCTATTTATTCTTTTGGTATCGTATCTAAGAAACCATTACTTAATTCAAAGTCACACAAACTAACTCTCAATTTTCTCCTATGCTTTATAGTTTTAGCTGTTATATTTAGAGCTTTAGTTCACTTCTGTGTGTGATGTGAGGTAGAAATCCTTAGGCTGGCCTTGAACTTGCTTATGTAACCCAGGCTGGCCTCAAACTTACGGCAATCCTCCTGCCTTTGCCTCCCAAGTGCTGGGATTACAGGCATGCACCACCACTCCTGGCTGGTCAGTATATTACTAATCTTCCATCTTTGAATTTAATTTGATTGTGTTTATGTGGCAGTTCGGAATGAGACATTACCAGTTGGGAAGCTATAGGAAATGGGTTTCTTTTTTGGTTTTGAAACTGCTCTAAAACCCATGGTATGATGCTTTATGTGCCTGGTAATTTAAAAAAGAGCAATCCTGTTGTCTTAACACTGTTCGTTGAAAAGATTATACTTTACCTGTTGCGTGTTCTTTGTATTCTTATCAAAAATCAAATGTCTGTAAATATAATAGTTTACCTCTAGACTCCTCAATTCAGATTTTTGTTGTTGTGTTTTTTATTTTGCCTCAGTGAAACTCAGTATCTTCCTATCTACGAAGTGATTGCAGTAATACTCAGTACTCATGTAAAGAGTAGACATTTTTAAGTACAACTTCTGCTGTTGTGGCTGTCTTCCCCTCTCTTTGTAACCTTTTCTTGTGATCAAGGTAATATAGTCGGTTTTATTTCAAATTTACCTCTTTTATGAGATATGTTGAATTCAGCCTTTATTCTTTATTATTGAAAATATCCTAAGTTAAAGGGTCATATTCAGTTTTGTTTTGAGATGGAGTCACCGAAACTAAGAATATTTGTTTTAAAGTTACCTCTTAGGTAATGATGCCATGACAGTAAATATTGTTATGTTGATTTCTGCTTATCACAGGTGATCCTTTCAAGGATGATCCTTTTGGAAAAATAGGTTAGTATTTCTTTTTTTGTTTTAGACAGGGTCTTGCTATGTAGTTCAGGCTAGCCTCAAACTCATGGCAGTCCTCTTGCCTCAGCCTCCCAAATTACAGGCATGTACCACCACACCTGCCTGGTCAGTATATTAGATTTTCTATCTTTACTTTCGTTTGATTATGGTTATGTGGCAGTTAGGAATGCATTATCACAAGTTGGGAAATGGGTTTCCGTTTTGTTTATGAAACTGCTCTAAAGCCATGGTATGCCGGGCATGGTGGCACGTGCCTGTAATCCGAGCACTCGTGAGGCTGAGGCAGGAGGATCATAGCAAGTTTGAGACCAGCCTGGGGTACAAAGTGAGCTCAGAGCCAGCCTGAACTGCACAGTGAGTTGCTGTCTTAAAAAGATAGACAAATAGATAGAGCAAGCCATGGAATGATGCTTTATGTGCCTGGTAGTTTAAAAATGAGGGTGGCAGATTCTTGTGAATTCATGTAATAACCTGTTTACTTTTTTGTTGTGGGGATCATGCATCCAGGGCTTCATGCATCCTAGAGAAATGCTCTACCACTTAGCTGCTTGGGAGACCAAGGCAGGAGAATCACAAGTTTAGAGAGACCCTGTCCTACAAACAGAAGGTGCTCTATCACTGAGCTGAGCCCCAGCCCTAGCATTACTGTTATAAAAATAGTACTGCTTTCAGTCACATTGACTCTAATTTCTCCTTATTAACTAAAAAAAGTTGGGTAGGCGTGATCTACATACTACTACAATCTTAGAACCTCATTTTATTTTCCTAAGATTATAAACTCTTTGTACAAATGAAGGAAAAGGAAGCATCCTAAAGAATTACTAAGTGTTGGGGTTTTTAAGGTGTTTCTAGGGGCCAGGAGTTTAAAAGCTTAGTGGTGCAGCACCTACCTGGCACATGTGAGGTCCAGAGTTCAGTTCCTGGTACCTCCCTTCAAAAAAAGGATACTTCTTTTCTGAGATTTTTTATTAGAATAAAGCAAATCTTGTGTACTGTTTAGTTTTACTTCCCAAACTTGTTCCAAAGTTCTGGCTGTTAGCTTTGAAGTCAGATGGAAGGAATTTTTGTTGTTGTCTTCAGTTATGATAACATACAATAAGGAGGCTTCCCTGTTCCATGCTGCCATAACTAAATATGGATCCCTGGGGCTAAGGGTGTAGCTCAGTGGTAGAGAGCTTATATAGCATGTATCATGCCGTGAATTTGATCCCCAGGGATATAGAGCCTATGAAGTTATATGCTAATTAAAAAAATAAGTTTTGCAGGTAAAAGATTATATGTCTTTTAATAAAATTACAGAGGCATCTGAAATAAAAATATTCTGCAGATTTAAAATGCCTTTTACTTAAGGCAGTGATAATGCCTTCGGTGGTAGACAATTTAATGTAATAACTTTTTAGTCTCTTATATTTGTATTTTCTTTTCTTAGACCCATTTGGTGGTGATCCTTTCAAAGGTTCGGATCCTTTTGCATCTGACTGTTTCTTCAAGCAGTCTTCTGCTGACCCTTTTGCCACTTCAGGTCCTGACCCTTTCAGTGCACCCAGCAATGGCAATAATGCATCGGTAAGTAGTATAGAAACTGTTAAGTTTAATGCACAACAAATGGCCTAGGTGAATTTTCTTAAAGTACACAATGATGAAAGAATCATACTTCTAATAGGCCATCACAGAATTTCTGCCTCATCACAACCCATCTAGTTTTTGTTGCAGGCTGGCATTTCACAGTTTGATTACCCTCTGGAATTTACTAGAATGACTTAAATGACATAAATGTCTAGAAATGAAATCCATCTTTCAGTGGACCAAATTTGTATCCCTTTGGGGATATTAAAAAGAAATGATTGGGAATCTTTAAGCCAGTCTTAAGTAAAGTTTTCAGAAATACTTGGTATATTATTGAAAGAATGAAAATTACTTTAAAAGAAACAGCATTGATTTATTTTTTTATTTTTTGTCTTTTTGAGGCAGGGTCTTGCTATGCAATTGAGGCTACCCATGAGCTCACTTTGTAGCCCAGGCTGGCCTTTAACTCACAATGGTCCTCCAGCCTCAGCCTCCTGAGTGCACCACCATGCCTGGCTGATGTTTTTAGAAAAATAAAATCATTTGTTATTTTGTATAGACATATCTAGACTGTTAATCTTGAAAAGAAGTACAAATTACCACTAAATGTTAGCTTCTTTTGAGTACTGCATAGAACCTGCAACAGTTGTTATTCAGTAACACACACAGTATGATTCAGCTACTTCTTTGTGCTTTACATTCATTGTTTCTAGCACATCAGTCTTGCAAGGTAGGAGTTCATATCTTTATTTTAAAACTCAGGACATCAGGAGTCAAAAATATTAACATGCTCAAGGTCATACAACTGAGTGCTTTGTTAATCTGGAAGCCTTCAAAAAAACTATATTGCAGATATCTGAAAATACTTCAAATAGAATAATAGTCCATTTTAACAAACCTCCATGTGTCCATCACTCAATTTCCATAGTTATGAATGGGTTAGGAGTTGTTTATTTATTTAGACTTCATTTTTGATGCAGTAGTTTCATGTCTGTAAGTAAAAGGATACAGAAGCAGTTGACTGGAAGGCATTTGAAACAAAATATTTTGTCTTTTAACCGTCTTTGATTAAGAATCCTTCCTTAAAAGAGAAATTAATTCTTTCTGGTGTCCTTAAATTATTTCCTTACTATATTCAGTAAAGAACTACTTGGCTAGCTATTGGTATTTTCCATTGATATAAAACTGGACAGCTCTCTCTAACTAAATATTTGTGGTTTCTACAGGCTACTAAATACTCTGTTTTCCTACAGTAGTTTGCCATGTGGACTAATTTGCCAGATTCTTCTAAAATTGACTACAATCTGAATTGTCTTCTTATCTTATTGTACCCTCTTGTTCCCCATTGTGATCATTTAAAAAATAAAAAAGCCAAATCAGCTCTTCCTAATTTAGAAATAATAAATTCCTCCCGCTCCTTTCCTCTGCTGAGATTTTTCTATCATATGTTCCACTTCTTTTTTTCCCTGTTTTCAAAAGAAATGCTATCCTTTCTATTATCTCTTGATTAATAACAAAAAACCAAATTGGCAATACAATACCAGTAGCCGCAGTTTATCTGATCTCTTCTGTGTCCATGGATGGTGCTAAGCTTTTTTTATGTATACTTCATTTAATTTATACAGTAATCCTAGAAGGTTTCATGTTATTCCCATTTTTAAGATAAATTAAATGAAGTTTAGACAGTTTAAGTATTGGTAGTATTGATTCTGTCCAGGTATGAGTCTTTTCCCTCAAAGTCTTTTCAATTCCTTTAAAAAATTTAGTCTGTGATCTCCCAAGGGCATAATTTGAACAGGGCAAAAAAACCAAAAACAGATGAAAAGCCCAGCCATTTCCTGCTGTCCTAGCTAGTACGTAAAAGCAGTGTACAGGTGCTAAGTGCTACGAGCCTACTACTACCTCCCTGCCCCTGGGTGTTCATTGCTGGTGTAGGAGAGAATTTCCATAATAAATTAGGTGACCTTGTAGGAGGATTTTAGAACATTAATTGTATAAAATTTGACCATCTAAGTTATATGAAAAGTTTATAAAATAAAATTTTTTTCCATTATGGAAACTATTTTTGCATGCTAAATTGCCCGATTATCAAGCTGAACATAAGAGTTTTGTGGCCACTTACTCCTTCATAGGCTGCGTCATCTCTTCTGTTCCTCTTGTTGTCCCAGTGGTTACACGGTTACACGGTGTACACGGTGTATGGTGAAGGAACAGAAGTTAAACTGATGTCAGTATGGGCATTCTTTGCATTCTTTTTTCTTTGTAAGGGGAAGTCAGATCTGTAGGCTGTAGCTGAAAATAAGGTATGTTTTCCTTTCCTTCAAAAATCAAGAAAAGCAGCAGTGACAATTGGGAACAATTTATGTCAGCAACTATTTCTCAAACCAGTATTTTGACTGTGATACTAGGAAACATGGAAGGCCACCTCACTATATAGATAATTTTTCTATTTATTAAATTATTATTTGGCAGAAATAATCTAAGCTAGAGTACTAGTTTTATAACACTGATATCAGCAAAATAAGTACTATCATTTCATTTCTAGAAATTTCATTAGTGCAGTATTTACTTTTCTGTTAGTTTAGGGAGTTCTCTTTTATACAATATAAATTATAGTTAGCTTTCCCCTTCTATTCAGTTAGATTTGTTTTTCTTGGAAATTTATAAATTGAGCTCTGGCAATATCCTTTGACATTCAGTTGTAGTAGCCATCTTCTTGATGGTTGGAAACAGAATGTAAAATACAGGTGTCACTGATAGCCATGATGAGAGTTGGCTATACATATTTGGAAACATTTTTCACATTCATCACTTAACTGCCTGCGTGGCTTTTAACCAACACCTTAAGAGCCTGGTGCCAGAAAAAAAATGAATTTATCTTCCTAAATATATAATTTGTTTGTGATTAAAATCTGAAGTGTAAAGTAGGAAGATAGTTCAATAGCAGGAATCTCTGGCTCAGGTAAAATCCTTACCTGTTCTTACATGTGGCATGTTCTGTCTGTCTGTCTGTCTCTCCTCTCTGTCTCTTTGTATGTTTAGTCTAAAAGAAAACATCCTAGAATTATTTTAAATAATTAGAAAATGGAAACAGCATTGTATGATGCTAAGTACTAGAAAATTTACAATTTGAAATAGGTGCATCCGTTTGGTTCCCGGTACCGGAAAAAAACCAAAAAAAAAAAAAAAAAAAAGAAATAGGTGCGTCCTGACAGAGCCATCTGATCTTTGACAGAGGGGCCAAAGATCCTCACTGGAGAAAGATTACCTCTTTAGCAAACGGTGCTGGAAAACTAGCTATCCACATGAAGAAGATTGAAGCTAGACCCATATCTCTCACCATATACTAAACTAAAATCAGAATGAATCAAAGATCTGAATGGTAGAACAAGCACTTGGGAGGCTGAGGCAGAAGGATTGTTGCGAGTTCGAAACCAGCCTGGGCTACAAAGTGAGTTCAAGGCCAGCCTGAACTGCATAGGGAAACCCTGTCTCAAAAGGATAGATAGATAGATAGATAGATAGATAGATAGATAGATAGATAGATAGATAGATAGAAACTCTGTCTCAGAAGGATAGATAGATAGATAGACAGACAGACAGACAACAAAAACAACCTGTTGGAAAATAAAATAGGTAAAACTGTTGAAGTCATAGGCATAGTCAAGGGCTTTGTGAAGAAAGCTCCACTTGCATAAGAAATAACTAGAGTCAAAAAATTGGGCTAATAAAGAAGGATATACTTGAGACATTTGTAGGAAAATGGATGCACCTTGAGCCCATACTCCTAAGTGAAATAAATCAGACACATGTGTAAATAGTGCATGGTCTCTCTGGTGTCAGAAACAGAAAGTATAAATAAGGGCCAAAATGTGTAATAAGTGTTGTGAAATAGGAAGAAATGTCCAAATGAGAGGAACAAGGCAGAGGGTGAGGGAAAGGAAGGAAGGGAAAAGTTTTTTAAAAATGAGAAAGAAGGAAATCATGGAAACAAAGCGTTTGTAAATGGGGAGGGAAGAGGGGTTGAAGGGAAGGTAGGGGAATGGGTAAAAAACAAGTTGTATCATGTACAGGTGCAGATTCTCTATGATGAATGTGATCATGTGTATGTAAAATGTACCAATAAAATCTGATTTTAAAAAATTTGGCTATATCAAATTAAAAAGGTTTTACACAGCAAAGGAAACAGTGAACAGAGTAAAGAGACAAGGTACACACTGGGAAAACATCTTGGACAGAGGGTTACTATGTAGAATATATAAGGAACTTGAAAATATCAGATCCCCAAAATAAAAGACCCATCAAAAAAATGGGCTTCTCAAATGAATGTACATGTCTCAGAAGAAGAAATGCAAAGAGCACATATACAGTGAGTGTGCAACTTCTCTAGCCATTAGAGAAATGCAAATTAAAACAACACTGAAATTCCATTTTACCCCAGAAAAAATAGCTGTCACCAGAACATCACATACAGTAATACTTGGTTCATGAACGCTTCCGTTCATGAACAATTCAGCTTGCAGACAGAAGTGCTGAGCAAAATTTTGCCTCCATTTGTGAACTCTACATTGGGTGATGACATGATTGTAGCCATCTTCCACATAGTTGTGGGACAAATTAAGTTCATGAACTGAGCCACCACTGTAATAACAGGCTGACACGGCTGTGGTGTAAAAAGAACCCTTGTACATTGCTGGTGGGAATGTATACTAGTGCAACCATTATGGAAATCAGTGTGGCGATTTCTCAAAAGACTGAAAAATAGAAATTTCATTCAACCCAGCTATTCCCCTTCTAGACATCTTTCCAAAAGAGTTAAAGACACCATATTGCCAGGCATGGTAGTGCACACCTGTAGTGTTTTAAAATTATTAGGGAGGCTGAAACAGGAGGATCGCAGTGAGTTCAAGGCCAGCCTGAATTACATAGCGAGACCCTGTTGAAAGACAGACAGACAGTCAGACATCATATTACAGCAATGCAGGCATACCAGATATACCAGCAGCATAATTCATAATAGCTAAATTTTGGAAGCAGCCTATATGTCTGTCAACAGGTGAATGGATAAACAAAGTATGCTATCTGTACATAATAGAGCACTACTTGGCTGTATAGGAGGATAAATCTGAAGTCATTTGTAGAAAAACAAATACAACTTAAGTGAAATAAATCAGACACATAAGCTTAAATACTGTATATTTTCTTTCATATGAAAAATCCAAAGTATGAATAAAGTGTAGAGCAAAATAAAAGACAGATAACAGGAAACAGGTAGATCTTTTGCAAATGAGAGGGGAACCAAGAGATGGAAGGTGGGGAGGGAGGCATGGAAAGAAGTACAAGTGCCTTCTCCCTAAGACTAGTGTAAACCTTACGTATGTAAGCGTGTAATAGTAAATAAGAAAAACATAATAAAATAGTGTCTATCCTAAATGAAACATGAGATCATGGAGTAGAGAAAGAATATTGGAGAAATTGATGAAATTCAAATAAAGGCTATAGTTTATAGTTTTGTGCTACATTCCTTTGTTTTCATAGCTGTACCATGATTTTATGAGATATTAACAATAAAGAAAACTGGATGAAGTGTTAATGGGAACTCTTTCTTATTTTTGCAACTCCTTTCTAAGTTTTAATTATTTCAGACTAAAAGTTAAAATACAAGTAGGGATGTGATGAAAAAGAAGAGAAATGACTATCACCGGGGTTTGGGTAACAATAACCTGCAGAGGAGGGATGGGATTGTGCCTGGAGAGGGGGCACCTGAGGCCTCCTGAGGTATGGCCAGCTCTGTGGGACATGATTACTTAGGTTTTCACTTGACGTTTGTTAAGACATACATATTTTATGCACCCTTTGGAATGAGTGTTATATTTCACAATTTTAAGAGATTAAAAATTGTGTGTATCATTTCTATTTAATAAGACTGCAAATTCATAGGATAAAATATTTGTTCCTAATGTTTATGTTCCTTAATTTAAAACTCATAAAGACTATTTTCTTCGAGTGACAGTGTATTCCACCTATGAAGTGTTGCCTGTCCCAGTAATGGATTTGTGTAACTTGTTCAGGTAGAAACATTGAAGCACAACGATCCTTTTGCTCCTGGTGGAACAGTTGTTATTGCAGCAAGCGATTCAGGTAACAAAATAATTTATCATTTTTACTGATAGTTAATTATTATCCTTTTCTTCATGGCTTTTCTCTCCAGATATTGTTACCCTATTAATTATACCTTTAAAATTATTACATAATCATTCAAAGTACAATCTACCAGTAATAATAGTGGCAAGTGTTTGAGTATCACTTTCTACTTTTATTATTTATTTTCTCATTTGTTACTCATATTCAAGATCTTTCTAAAATATATACCATATCCAGTATCTATAAAACCAATAAGAATTTTTTTGCTTTCTAAAAGATAATGTTTGGCACCCTCAAAGTCAGTATTCACTCAGGGATCTTGGCCTAAGTTAAAAAATTAGTGACTCCCAAGTGTTTATTTTATTTTTCTCTGTGTTATTTTAGCATCTAAGATTTGTTTTCTTTTTATAATATCTGATTTTTCAGTTATTCTTACAATCTTTTAAGTAATATTCCTATTTTAAACAGGAAATACAAACAGTTAAATTACTTGATCAAGATTATATAAATTGGTATATTCAAACCAGGTAAACCAGTTCACTAGATTCAGACTTAGGTCTGTTGGAGTCTAAAAGCTTTTTTTCAACTAGGTAACTCTGCTTCCTTCCCACTGCTCATTTAAAAATATGTAAAACAGGCAGCTAGCGTGTTGGGGAGTGGAAAATCAGAGGAAACTAAACTCAAACATTATGTTCTTGAATATCATGCTGAAAGTAGGATCCTTTGTTTTTCCAGGTTGTTCTTTCTTTTTGAGACAGGGTCTTGCTATGTAGCCCAGGCTGGCCTTGAATTCACAGCAGTCCTCCTACCTCAGCCTCCCAAGTGATTACAGGCATGCACCACCATGCCCATGGGTTAATACATTTATAATTAACTCTTTTCTCGAATTTGTAATGATCCCCTTGCTGCCTCAGCCTCCCCAAGTGCCAGAATTACAGGTGCACATCGCCAAATCCAGCTTTTATAATTAACTTTTGATTGCCCACACTAAGTGCCATGAGAATTAATTAAAGCTACAAGATTTAGCACACTTTTTTTTGGTTGTTACTGGGAATTGAACTCAGGACCTTGCACTCGCCAGGCAGGCACTTCTGCCACTGAGCTATATCCCAGGCAAAGCTGCAAGATACAGAAGGGGGACGACACACTAAGGGTAAATTGTTAAGTGACTTTGAGCCCAGATGCAGCCTTTGTGGTACACCTTGAAAGAATGGCTAGGATTGTAGCAAGCAGGTATGGAAGGAAAGAGTATGTGATGGAGGCAGGAAGTAGTGTGTTCAAGGATAAACAGACTTTTTGATTAAGAGCTAGTTTATAGATGCAGAAATAGTTATGTTACGTTAAGGCCAAGGTGGTGGATTTCAGTCTTAGTGTACAAGGTTGCTAATTTCTAATGCTTTTATCATCTTCCCTTTAAATTCCAGCTCCCTGTTCATTTCCTGTAAAAAGGTAGAACGAATCATTGCAGTGTAAAGGGGTGCTGGCAGATTTGCTGTTGTGAATCATAACAGCAGCTGCCATACACTGAGCATATATAGAATTCCAACACAGTGTGCTTAACATCTTCCTGTACTTAGTCTCTTCTTCAAAACAACTGTGGGATAGTAATTGATACGTTCATGAGGGGGCCATAATTCGTTATGTATTGGGCAACTTGAACCATTGTAGTACATGCATGTCTGTCCCATGCATGACTGTCCCACTTGGTACCAGCTGCCTGATGGGATAGTCATGCATGTACCACCAGTGATTCAAGCTGGTGGGAAGATGTTAATATTGTTTATTGTAAAGATAAAGGAAATCAAGGTATGGAAAGAAAATGTACTTTTACAAAGTTAAAGAAGTTGTAGTAGATGGATCTACACTCCAGTGAGGTCCACCTGTCTTCCTGGTCATTCTTTTTTTTTTTTTTTTGGTCTTTTTGAGACAGGGTCACGCTATCCAAGTCTCCTTTGCTGTGTTTTCCTCTTCCCCCAGTATCTTAATGTTGTGTTATTGTAGGTCTTAGTCCCTGGCCTTTTTTCTCCATTTGTTCTCCCTTGGGAAACTTGGTTGCATGACTTTAAATAGTATTTACATGCTGATTTAGACTAATAGCCACATTTTCCTGAGCTCCACACTTACATATCCAGCCACTGGTTTGCATTTCTACTTGAATGTCTTATAAGCGTATCTAACACAGTATTATCTAATACCACATACCTAATCTTCCTTCACAAATGTCTTTTTTGGAACTTTCTCCATCTTTGTTTATAGCAGTTTCTTTGTGTGATTATATGGGATTAAACCCAGCCCTTTTTCTAGTATTTGTTTGCTTGTTTGATTTTGTTTTTGGGGCAGGATCTTGCCAAATTGCTAAATGACTTTAATTGGACTTGAATTTGCAATCTTCCTGTTTCAGCTTCCCGGAGTGCTAGGATTACAGCTGTGTACCACTATGTTTTGCGAGCTTCATCTTCAATGTTTTCCAGGTTTAAAACCTTTAGAATCATCCTTAGGTTTTCTTTTTGTTTTTTGTTTTTTGTTTGCTTTGGTTTGTTTTTTTGGTTTAGTATTGGGGATTGAACCCAAGGCCTTGTGCATGCTGGATAAACACTTTATCATGAACTATACCCCAGTACCATCTGTGCTTTTTCTCTTATCCTAACCTGCCATGAAATCATAATGGCTCTCCCTTCAAGTTATATTTAATAAAAGCTTTGCCGTGGCCTATTAACATAATATTGTATCATTATCCCATCGCTTACTGTGTCTCAGTCACATGGGTCTTTTTGCTCTTGGTCAAACTATCTACATGATGATCTCTTATTGCCTCTAAGGTCTCTGCTGGAAAATTCACTGGTAGCTTTATTGAGGATCCTAATTTATGTGATTAGTCATTTTTCTCTTGCTGCTTTCAAAATGTTCTTTTCGTCTTTCAGTAGTTTTATAACAGTAGACCTTGGGTAAGTCTCTTTGGCTTTATCCTACGTAGAGTTTGTAAGCTGCTTACATATCTATCTTCCTTCAAATTTGGGAAGTTTTGGGGCATTATTTTTTCAAATAAACTCCCTGCACCCTTTCTTTATTCTGAAAATACACAAATTGGAGTGGGATGGTGCCACAAGACTTTTTCTTACTCTCAGATTTTCTTACCTCTTTAGAGTTGGAAGGGACCTTAAATGTTGTATGAGCCAGAGTTTTCCTTTTTATTTTTATTTATTTATTTATTTATTTATTTATTTTTGGTACCAGGAATCCAACTTAGGACCTTGCACTTGCCAGGCAGGTGCTTGTGCCACTGAGCTATACCCCTGGCCCCAGAGTTTTTATATTATGTTCCATAAAACTAATTCCTAGGGAGGTCTTCAGAAAGTTGGTAGGTTCTAGTTTCATGGTTCTAAAGTATCCTTAAATTTTGAAAAATTGCAATTTAATTAAATATGTGTGCTGTTTTTTGCCTTTGGACATGCTGGAAATCCAACAAAGGAGCTCATGGTAGATAACATTGTACTACTGAGCTATACTCTCAGAATACATTAATGAATTAGAGTACACCAGTGCTTTAGAGTACTATAAGCTGCTCTGAGAGTACAAGGTTCCTGTTAAGAAATGTGTATTTTATATTTACTACCTTGAATGAATTAGATTTTGCATACTGCTTTTGTTCATTCTTTCTTTCTTTCTTGTTCTTTTTCTATTTTCTTTTCTCCCTCTCCCCTCCACCCTTTCACTATGCTAGGGTAAAGAAGTTTTTCAAATGGAATAATCAAAATCAAGTACAAAGATAGGGCAAACACCTGACTTTAAATGCTTGTCTTAATCCAGATTGTTCCAATGTTTTATTGTCAGTATGACAAACATTTTAAATGTGAATGTTAAGTAAATTTAAAATTAATGGGGCTGGGGATTTAGCTCAGCGGCAAAGCGCCTGCCTGGCAAGCGCAAGGTCGTGAGTTCGGTTCCCGGTGCCGGAGAAAAACCAAAAAAAAATTAAAAAATTAAAAAAAAAATTAAAATTAATATGAAAATTCCACTTATTTTATGTACTTATTTTGCCATAGAAGGTTTCAGAGTCATTCTCTAGTCTGATTTCCTGATATTATAGAAGGAATCTGAGCCTGAGTCACATATCACTTTGTTTCTAATTCATGCCTATTGATCTTTCTACAGTTTTATTTTCCCTATCTACCTTTCTACTGGGTAAATAACAAAATTATAAAATCTTTGGAACCTAAATTTGGGGAAGAACAAGAAAATACTAGGGCCTTAGGGGAAACAGCCCAGTTAAGAAATGAAAATGACAGAGCCTTTGCCTGGCGTGGATGAGGCCCTGGCTTGATCCCAGGCACTAAAAAAAAAAAAAACAAAAAAAAAAGGAAGAAAGCATATTAGTAACAAACTTAAAAATGATCCATGAGCATACTCTTTTAGAGGTGGAAGAGGTAACTCCAGAGTCCAACTTCCCTGAGTTCTTCTAGCAACAGTAATAAAAATAATTAGGAAAGAGAGTCACCATGGATGATGACTTTGGAGATCATTAAGTTCAGCAACTTTTTGGTTCCTGTTATACTATACTTCTAAAAATTGAGGACTCTCAAAGAGCTTTCTGTTTATATAGGTAGTATCTATTAATATTTATCATATTAGAAATTAAAAGAGAATTTAAAAATACTTTATTTAAAAACAACAGCAGACTGACATGGTAACATATGCCTGTAAAACTGGGTACTCAGGAAGGTGAGATAGGATTGAGAGTTTAAGATCAGGTTGGGCAATACACTGACAGTCTGTCATTCATAAATAAATCAGTAAAGCTATTACATATTAATATAAATACCATTTGCTTTTTAAGAAAAAATAACTCAACCAAAAAGAATAGCATTTCTTCAAAGTTCTTTAATATCTGAGTTACTAAGAGACAGCTGGTTCCTCTTATCTACTTTATGAATTCAGGGGCTAGGGATTTAGCTCAGCGGCACAGCACCTGCCCAGCAAGTGCAAGGTCGTGAGTTCGATTCCTGGTACCGGAAAAAAACAAAACAAAACAAAAAAGTTACCGACTTATGAATTCAGTCTGCTGCCCTGTTTTCTTTTGGTTGAAGTGTATCAGTTAAAAAAGATCTGGTCTTATGCAGCATGTATTTACTTGGAAAAAGGGAAAAAATTGTTAAAACCTTCCCAAAGAAATTTTGGTTTCTTCTTTCTATTGTACCAAAGTTCAAAAAGTTTTAGTGTCTTCAAAGTTAGTTACAATATGAAATATAAAAGCAGGTGTGGTGGTACATACCTGTAATGTACTCAGGAGGTGTTGAATTACAAAGGCAGGAGGATTATAAACTTAAGGCCAGCCAGTGCAGTTTAGCAAGACTGTCTCAAAAATACAAAATAGCTGGGCGTGGGGGTGCACACTTGTAATCCCAGCACTCAGGAGGCTGAGGTTGGAGGATCACTGTTTGAGGCCAGCCTGGGTTACATAGTGAGTTCAAGGCCAGCCTGAACTTCAGAGCAAGACCCTGTCCCAAAAAGGAAAAAACACTACAATAAAAAGGGCTGGGTATGTAATTCAGCGCCCCCTGGGTTCAATGCTCTGTTACTACCAGAAGAAAGGGTATGAAACTGTAGCCATGAACAAAGAACAAATCTATGCTTCCCCCTACATTTGTTCTGTATTAAAACACTGTTAACAGCCCTCAACCAGTCATAGACTTCTCTGTCATTCCCTTTATCCAGTAAATTGCAGCATCTTGTTTTATTCCCAGATGGAATATCATGGTCTTTTCTTCCTCATGCATGTTTTGATTGGGCCATCATTGTGTTTTATCTAAACGGTCTCTTCACCTGCCAATCATCACCCACATCACTGCTAAAAATGCCTTTTTGAACATTAATCATATTGCTATCCACAAATCTATGTCTCTGGCCCTTTGTTCCAGATAGATAGATAGGTAAGTAATGTCACAGATACATGTCTGAAAGTAGAGTTGTCCACTCTGTAAAATGTAAAACACTGAAAATTCTTCCAGATACCCATCTCTGTTAATAGTATCACTGTTTGTTTAGTTACCCAAGCACAGCCAGACCTGCTCTCCCCAGCCCACAGTTTCTGGGGCATAGAAGAGGCTTATAAATATACTGCTGAAGAAGTGAATCTATTATTTACCTCAGACCTGCTGTACTATAAGATTTTGAATTGAGAAGGAGACAAGGAGATTGATTGGTTAGTTAATTGATTTCCTGGAAACGATTCTTTTAGTCTAAGATTATTTTTCTTACTATTTTTGTTCTTACTATTAAGTTTGCAAATCTATTTTTCCTCTATGTATGGAGGTTTGTTTGTTTTTAGTAGTAAGTTTTTCCCTACATTGTTTTCTTGAATTTTGTTACACTTGACGTAAAAACTTTTAATTATGGGGATATGAAGAAGATGAATGACTTACTAGAAATCTTGTAGGTCAGACCAAGGCATGGTGGTGAACGCCTATAATCCCAGCACTTGGGAGGCTGAGACAGGAGGATTGCTACAAGTTCAAAGTCAGCCTGGGGCTGGAGATATAGCTCAGGGGCACAGTGCCTGCCTGGCAAGTGTGAGGTTGTGAGTTTGATTCCCAGTATCAAAAGAAAGATGTTCCAAAGTCAACCTGGGCTACATAGTGAGTTCAAGGCCAGCCTGAACTACATAGTGAGACCCTGTCTCAAAAAAAAAAAAAAAAAACCATGTAGGTCAATATCTGTTAAACTTTATATGGGAAAAAGAGAAATGTATGTAGGGTTTTAGTGTATTTAGTTTGCTTTTAGTGTATTTAGTATTTAGATTTAAAATCCCAATATCAAATAACAAAAAGAGGTGACATTAAAGAAGTGCGCTAAAGTACCGGCAAGGGTTATTTAGAGTAATGAGAGTACGGATGATTTTTCAAATTATACACTGCATATTTTTCCAGCGTGTTTATGGGAGGAAAGTGCATTAATGAGGTTATGTTTGCATTGAATGCCTGGGTCTGCTGGCTTAGCCTGCATATGCACAAGGGAGAAAAAGCTACCTGCTGGCTGAGACTCCTGGAAGCAGGTGTCTCTCACATGGTCTGCACATGTTCATGCACAGTGAATCCTTCCAGTTTCTGGACAGACCTCTGCTTTACATCTGCTGTGATCAGTATCTGAGGAAGTTCTTGCCAAAGTCTGAATTCTCCAGTTTGGGAAAAGATGTTTTTTCATTCTTCTAGGATACATCATCTCAGAGTTTAGACCAGTGCTAAATAGGTCATTTATGAGGAAAGTATAGAAAACACTCCAGTAAAGTACATACTCGTATCAAAATAGCATTTTTCTTGTTACCTTCCTCCATAATACATACTTTACAATATTTCGTTTGAACCTTTCCATTGCTGAGGCAAAATACCCAACATCCGCGGCTTGAGGAAAGATTTATTTTGGCTCAGCCTGTGGTCAGGTAGCTCCAAAGCAGAGTAGCCATGGTGGAAGGGAATGGGAGAGGAGGGTTGCTCGATTCATGGCAGCCAAGAAGCAGAGCAAAAGGAAGAAGGGGACTCCAAGAACAAGAGCGCACCCTTTCAGGTGCCGCTCCATGGTGGCCCATCTCCTCTGACCAGGCCATGCCTCCTAACAGTGTGGTCTGCTGTGAAGCTGCCAGGGAGCTAATCTGTTGGAAAGTACAGTGCCCCCATGATCCAGCCACTTTTCCCAAAGGCCCACATCTGAACTCATGACACTTCGGAGGAGATTTTAAATCTGAATCATAACACTGACCTAACTCAGCTCAGTTACACCCCTATTGTGTACTTACTTGCAACCCCTTCTGTTTACATCCATGCTGTACTCATTTCTAGAAACGTAGGCACATTTAACACCTTTTTTTTATTCACACTGAGCTCCATCCCCTCTCTTTCTTTTAATGGTTATTGGAGACAAGACATTGCTAAATAACCCAGCCTAGGCTTCCAACTTGCACTCCTCTTGCCTCACCCTCCCATAGTGCTGAGATTACAGGTGTGTCCCACCATGCCTGGCTATGCTTTGCACTTTTCTTTTTTTGTGTGTTTTTTGAGCAGGGTCTCACTACGCAGTTCAGGCTGGCCTTGAGCTCACTTTGTAGCCCAGGCTGGTCTCAAACTCGCAAGATCCTCCTGCTTCAGCCTACCAAGTGCTGGGATTACAGGTGTGCACCACCATGCCTGGCCACTTTGCACATTTAAATGAGTGGTTGTGCACACTTTTCTTCTAAAAGTGATTTGATACAAGGATGAAGAGTCAAGGAAGCACAAGAATTTTTTATACCTCTTCATCTTGCCTTCTCTTTCATAGATCTTTCCCATCCTTTCTATCTTCATTTCTTTCTGCTTTCATATATCAGGCAGCACTTTCTTAAACCTTGATGTTATTGGTAGCCGTTATGCTGTGCCTGAGAAAGTAAAGCCTATCTCAGAGTAGGTCATTTCATTCCCACTGAAAATATCAACCTCCTTGGAAAGTGCGTTGTGATGGGAAGGTGACTCCATGTGCCCATGAAGCATTGGTTAAGTTGTGCGTTTTCAGTTACTGTTCCTTCTGCATGTAGCCTGCTTTCTCCTTTACCTCAGTTCATTTACTAAACCTCATTTCATATTCCAGAGACTCGTCCTGCTCTTGCAGCTAGTTAGTGACTCCCACTACAGGTTTTTCATGCCTAATACCCCATAAAACACATTTACTGCTGTGTACCTGTCTCTCAGAGACTGAGCTTTTCAAGGGTAGGACCAGCATGTTCTTATTTTGGCAAATGTTTGTTGGCTGTTTATTCTTTGTTGGACAGACTTTGTTCCCTGTTTTTAAGGACTTCACTCCTTACTACAGATGATTCTCAGTCATAGATAATCATGGTACAAATGAGAAGGCAGTTATTGCCATAGAGAATGAAGAACTCACTTCTTACTGTGGGAGTGACATCTAGGTTATTCCAGGCCTGTGGATGAGGTTGCATTTGAAATGGGCTGTGAAGAGCATGAAATGTGGAATTCATGGTATCTAGCTTTCTGTGTCTTGATGTCTTCATCAGCAATAATTTCAGTTCATAGGGGCTGTATCATTTGACATGTATTCAGGAGCCTTGAACACTTTACTTAGAAGTAAAGTAGCTCACCTGTTTTTGATCTTGAATCATTAATCAGTTGATTATGTAAAGGAATACATTTAGGGTTATCAGTATGTGCTGTCTTTACAGATACCAGTCATTAACTTGGGAGTTAATGTTTGGGGTTTTTCAGATAATGTATCTGAGTGTAGCCAATCAAAAGAGGACATGAAATTAAATTATTTATGTCCTATTTCATTGATTTTCTTTATTCATTTTAGCAACAGACCCCTTTGCTTCTGTTTTCGGAAATGAATCATTTGGAGATGGATTTGCTGACTTCAGCACATTATCAAAGGTAACCTGCATTGATTAATGGGAAGGGAAAACACATTTCCATCAAAGGGGCTCTCTCACATGTACTGCAGTAAAGCATAGCAGATGTTGACTTCAGATGGAAGTGAATGATAAGCTGTGAAGTAGACATTTCTATACATAAACAGACTATGGTGAGGGTATGGGCAAGTATAATTTTCTACTGACATTTACTCAGTGATGTCACTTCTGTTTGTTTAGGTGTGTTTCTTCCAGTTGAACTACATTTTCTCTCTCTGTACTGTTTGGGTCAGTGCTATAACATTCATTTTATCTTCTGTTGGTTACTTGATTTTGTGCTCTGAGGTTGTTAGGGTTAGTAGCAAAGTAATTAAATATGCAAAGTCCAGTACTCACTGTCCTCTCCTATTTTCCATCATAGCTCTAGTATTGATTCAGGGCAAGAGAGAAGGGTACAGGTATATGTCAAATTGTCTGTATCATTACCCTCCAAAGAACATTTGACAGTGTCTACAGACATTGTCTTTCACAACTAGGTGGACAGGGCTGCTCATGTCTACTGGATAGAGGCCAGGAATGCTGCTAAAAACCCACACTGGCCGGGTGTGGTGTGATAATGCACGCCTATAATCCTAGCGCTCGGAAGGGTGAGGCAGGAGGGTCACTGTGAGTTCGAGGCCAGCCTGGGCTACGTAGTGAATTCAGGGCCAGCCTGCACTACATAGTGAGGGCTTTCTCAAAAACAACAACAACAACAACAACAACAAAAAACCTGTGTGGCCCTCACAGCACAGTGTCATGTCAGTTCCAGTGCCAGTGTTGAGAGACAGCGTCAGCCTAAATAGATGTAAAATTGTAAAATCTGATTCATTGTAGAGGTGAACTCTTTCATTACACCACATATTTGAAAGGCAGGACCTTCAGACCTACATTAGGACTTACTATTCAATGGAATCAGTTTGGTTTTAAAACTTAGCTTTCCATTTGTCTTTTTTTTTTTGTGGGGAGGGGGTGGTTCCTTTTGAGACAGGTTCTTGCTATGCAGTTCAGACTGGCCTTGAGCTCACTTTGTAGTCCAGGCTGGTTTCAAACTTGCAACAATTCTCCTGCCTCAGCCTCCCGAATTCTGGGATTACAGGTGTACACTACCACACCCTGCTTCTGTTTGTCTTTATAGTTTGTCTAGGTGCCATTTTCTTTACATGAGTAGTAAATCTTTCCATATGTAAGTGCCTGGGAAGTGTGGAGGTTGTAATTTTTTTCTTTCATTATCATTTAATTCAGATATTCATTTGAGGAAAGGCATATAGTTTGTTAAAAATGGATCTCAGGTATTTTATAGTGAATATTGCCTGAGGTTTGACAGGCCTTCAATCTCGAGTTGGCTTGTTTTGGTGCCACTTGTTGCTCTGTATAAGTCATGATGTTAGAATACAGAATATTGTTTTAAAATTATTTGTCAGGGGCTGGGGATTTAGCTCAGCGGTACAGCACCTGCCCAGCAAATGCAAGGTCGTGAGTTCAATCCCCAGTACCGGAAAAAAAACAAAAGAAAAAACCAAAAAATAAATAAATAAATAAAATTATTTGTCAACAAGTTGTCGGAAATAAATGAATAATAAAATTATTTGTTCTCAGATGCACAGGTTAAAATATCTTTCCTTTCAAAATTGAAACAAACCTGCGTTATACTTAAGTAATTCTGTCAAATGCTGTACGATAATGTAATAGTTTGCTTTACAGTGTACATACACACACACACATGCATATATACGCATACATCCCATGTATAAACTTTTTTTTTTAAACAAAGGTCAACAATGAAGATCCTTTTAGTTCAGCTACATCTAGCTCTGTCAGCAGTGTGGTCGTTCCTAAAAATGCGTTTGAGGAAACAACGATCAAGAGTGAAGATGTACCCCCCGCACTGCCACCAAAGACTGGAACGCCAACAAGGCCTTGCCCACCGCCACCTGGTAAGAGAGTTAGCCTTTCCTAAGTCAACTCAGAGGCCTTTTCTCTTTCTGAAAAGTATCACTTAGGCCTTACTTACATACTTGAGTATTGTGGAAAGAACCTTAAACGAAACAAGCGAAACGCATAGCAGAGCTGGCTGCTGTCACTTGTTCTGACCTTAGTACAGGATTATAACCGTGTGCCTAAGGAGCCAGCATGTGCAGCCGGCACGGACTGCCTTTCGGGCAGGAGCTACCCCACCCCCAGTCCTTTCAGGGAGGCAGTAAATGGGAGAGGGGAAGTACAGATGAAACCCCTTGATTTTTGGAAGCTCATTGGTTATCATCTGAAAAACACTTTCCTGTACTCTGGTGTTTTAATTAATTTTCATAAGAGAAAGTTAAACCTAGTCCTTCAAAATGTAGTCTTCCTTAAATCTTTTGATGTGTAAAAATAACGGCTTATGGTATCCGGAATTCAGCAGTATAGTGGTCTTAAGGTATTGCCTTTCTTGAAAGAAAATGTTTTGTTTCACTCACTGAAGACTACTACTTTATTTTATAATAGTGATAGGGGGTCAGGAACATATTCTTAATAGTTTTATTCTTTGATTTTGTTATATTCAGTGTGTGCATATGTGTGTGTATTGTATGAAGGAAAAGCGTGTTTTACAGAAAGTGGCTAAAGGCAGTCCGTGAGTAGCTGTAATGCTGCTCGGCTGTCCTGTGAAAGATACCTTTGGTACACTGGCTTTTTAGTTATATATCATTCCTTGATGTATCTGATAAATTTTCAGCCCCAGCAGTTAAAGATTGTTATTTTTGCCTTTCCATAATAAACTGCCCTGTGGTGTTTCTTGGGCAGATTTTTTTTCTTTTTTCAACTTAAAGATTGTTTGTACAATTGTTAATATTCACTTACCTGTTTAAAAAAATCAGGTAAATAAGTGGGTGCTGTTATTTAAGGAAAAGGAGCCTATAGCATATATTGGTGGAAGTGAGGTTGTCAGACTATATGTAAAAGTAACTCACAAAATTTCTCATTTAAGGTTTTATACTTACATGATGCTAATCATATTATTTTGAAGTCCTAAATAAAATTCTGTACTAGGGCCAGGGATATAGCTCAGTGGCACAAGTGCCTGCCTGGCAAGCACAAGGTCCTGAGTTCGATTCCTGATACAGAAAAAAAAAAGTTTAAAATACTATACTAGCACCTTAATGAAGGTATGTATCATTATAGATAGAGCAAGGAAAAAAGAGTGTTTTTTTCTTTTGAAAGAGCACTGACTGGGAGCCTAAACATCTAAATCAGAATATCTCCCAACTTGCTCTGTGATTCTTTTAGTTCTGTTTTTGGCAGTGCTGGGGATTGAACCCAGGGCCTTGCACATGCTGGGAAAATGCTCTCCCACTGAGCTATACTCTCAGACCTTGCTCCTGTGATCTTGAGTATATATAATTTCATATGTCTAAGCCTCTGCTGCCTCAGTTGTTAGATATTAGTAGTAACTAACTCGCCAACCATCACAAGATCCATCCAGAAAGGAGATAGAAACATCTTGTAAGCTGCTATAATGATGAGAAATCTGTTACAATTGCTGTTAGCAGCTTAATGCATTTTAGGAAAAGAATATATTTGAAGATATTTTAACATCCACTTATTTCATCTTTTCTTCAAGAAGTACTAACTTTAAGACTTTAGAAGTTAGAAAGCCAGGCATGGTGGCACAGCTGAGGCAGGAAGATCACTGCAAGTTTGAGGCTAGCCTAGGCTGCATAGTGAGTCCAGGCTGGCCTGAGCTACAGAGCTAGACCCTGTCTCAAAAAAAAAAACCAAAAAAATAAGTTAGAGAACTTGCTTGAAAATAGTATTGAGTTAACGTGTGACCAACAGAACAGAACTTTGTTGTTCAGTCAAAGATTAGTTTGCCAATGATCATACGTATAGGCCTTGGACTACAGAACATTGTTCAGTCTTCATTTTGAGATAGTGTATGTGACAAAAAGTAAGCAGAGTTTTGTCAAGATGGTTTTTAATTTTATGCTACTAGGTATTATGTATGTAGATCCACAGAAAAATCAGAAGAATTTTGCTATTTTTCAAAGGTCATTACTACCACTAGTGGATGGTTATATAAGTATCAGGCTGATTTGATAACAAAAGAGGCCTTTCCTATATTTATTCTTTATTGTTTTCCTCCTGATACTGTACTACTTTAGGAGGGGGTGAGTTTAATCTTGGGACAAAAATATAATTCCTGGACATCCTTTCTTTGCTGTTTTTCATTTACTGGCACCTAGCTGAATGTGTTTGAGAGACTGTTGGGGTGTTCATTTCAGACAGTATTAAGAATGTGTCTTGAGTTTTCATCCCATCCTCCACCCACCATTCGTACTGTCCCCTGCCTGTATGTTCTGTGTGCTTGTTTGCCTTATTTACTGGTTAATTGTAATGATTTTGATCCAGGGAAAAGACCCATCAACAAATTGGATTCTTCTGATCCCTTTAAAGTGAATGATCCATTTCAGCCTTTCCCAGGCAGTGATAGCCCCAAAGAAAAAGATCCTGATATGTTTTGTGATCCATTCACTTCTACTTCTACTACTGCCAATAAAGAGGCTGACCCAAGCAATTTTGCTAACTTCAGTGCTGTAAGTACTGTGAATGGGCTGTTTGGGGGAAAATCTTTCCATTTACAGTTTGAAGAGTTTTCAAAGATTACTTTGGAATCTGCCAAATTTGTATGATTTCATCTAAATTTACCAACATACTAAAAGTGATCTTTAAATCTTCCCCCAAGCAAAATGTCTGATTGATTCTCTTTTGATAGTAGTTCTAAAATTGTTCCATTGCATAAATTATTTCAGTAGCTTTAGTTCTTGTGATACATACAAGTTGTTTTGTAAACCCTTCTCTTAGAATATAAACAGAAGTAAAATCTTGACAGTTACTATTCTTCAGATGATTATAGTTGATGGTGATTTAATGGGCCATCACAGAGTAATGCATTGTCTGCTCACTGGATGAATAATGCCAGTAAAGAGCTGTGTATTTGTAATTGTGTGTGTGTTTGTGTATAGAACTTTAATGATTTCTGGAGATCAGTCAGCAACTGCTGTGTGAGGATAGGGCCAATGGTTCTTTGAGTAGAAAGTAAAATCACTTTCTTAGCCTTTTGGTTAAGATCAAGTGACTAAAAAGTAACTCTTCTTGTTTTTTTCTTGGTGCTGGAGATTGAACTCAGTTCCTTGCCTATGCAGCATGGAAAGTTGCTATGTGCTCTACCACTGAGCTATATATCTCTAGTCCCGTGGTAGCTTTTAAAAAATGTTCCTGTGAGTGGTAGTGCATACCTACAATCCTTAGCAGTGGGGAGACTAATGGGAGAATCACGCATTCAGAGCCAGCCTGATGAACATAGTGCGTTCAGAGCTAGCGTGCTACCCAGTGAGAATCTATATCAAAATTTTAAAAAGGTGACTATGAGGGCATGGTGGCTCGTGTCTGTAATCCCAGCACCTGAAAGGCTGAGGCAAGAGGACCATAACTTTCAGCTTTTGCCTGGGCAACTTAACGGGACCCTGTCTCAAAATAAAAAACAAAAAGGGCTGGAATGTAGCTCAGTGTGAGGCCCTCAGTTCCATTCCCAATACCACCGGGGGGAAAATGTTACTGTCTACTGTGTGTGGTGGTGGCGGTATGCCTCTGTAGTCTCAACTACTTGGGAGGCCAAGGTGGGAGGATCTCTCAAGCTTAGGAGTTCAAGGCCAGTCTAGGCAACATAGCAAGAGACCCCATCTCAAAAAGAAGGTCACTGGTCACTTGAAGAAATGAACTGTTTTCTAGATCTAAGCAGTCTTTATCTGGAGGGCCCTAGTTCACTAGCTTCCCGTATTTACTCTGCATTCTTCCAAAACTGACTAAACCAGAATGGCATCAGAAACCATGGAAAGGTGCTATGATGATGGCAAGATCTTAGATGAGCCGGGCACAGTGGCACACACCTGTCATCCAAGCATTCAGAAGGCTGAGGCAGGAGGAGTGCCCCAAGTTCAAGGCCAGCCTGAGCTACACAGTGAGCCCAAAGCCAACCTGAACTGTGTAGCGAGACCCCGTCTCAAAAAAAAAAAAGTCCTAGATGTTAGAAAAGAAAATTAAAATAAAACTTGAACTGTGTAGTGAGACCCCGTCTCAAAAAAAAAAAAAAAAAAAAAAAAAAACATGCCAAATGTGGAGGTCCTTC